CAGCTGGGTGCGGGATGTGTCCGCGTCCTCCACGTCCGCGGGAAACGTCGTCGAGGCCGTGGTCATGGTGCTCGAGAGTTGACTACCCGTTGACTTGATGGACATGGCGATGTTGGGCTTCTCCAGGAGACGGCTCATGGCAGACTCTGGCTGGGGACCTGAAATCAATTTGCATATCAATCCGAGCCAGTATATTACCCACAAAAGCAGGGGCTTATCGCAACAACTGATAAGAACTCAATATGTCAAAAATCTAATCTAAACTATCCCAAAATTGCTTTGCTTTTATAAGACTTCCCAGCAGAGACATAATTTGATGATTGGGTGCACATAAACAGCTGCGGTCAAATGATAGGATATGACTTATGATAAAACTATTTTATTGTAAAACTAAAATTACAAACGATACTAAATTTTAAACATTAAAAAAAACTTTAAATGTATTAATGAGTTATAATCTCTTTAATTTATCGCGACCAAGTTTTTGAGCAGTCAATCCAAACTATTTCCACAACTATAATACGTCGTTGAAAATAAGTTCTCAGTCAGTAATTACGAAATTACTGAAAAATTATTCACACTGGTTGTCAGGCTTTAATCTTAGTAATTAATATTTTAGGTGTATTTCCTATAAAGTTGTTTGATTTGTTATCATATCCACGACAAAAACACAACTTTGTAATTCGGTGGAAAGTGATTTGTGTGCCGATTGATTAAAAAACGAAATAAACAACCACATTTTACTGATATTGATTGTGAGAAGAAAATAATTTAAGTGCTAATTTTTTAAAAGCAGTGTATTTATGGTTCACAGCAAAAAAGCATTTCGCAGTTCATGCAAATTTTCATATCTAACAATTGTTTCGTAATTGACAAAAGCATTTCTCCCTTGGCATAGGTTCAAAATAGGCACTCAAAATGCTTTTAAACGATAATATTGACCAATAATGAGGTTTCTGGTTCTAAATAACTTGGCAATTGAACTTTGTTTTGGCCACATGTCGAGTCATTCTGCCACTGGGGTGCGAAACTTGGTCACTATCAAGTTCTCCGGGTTAATCAGCCGGAATTGATAAGAGTTTGCCCAGCTGCAAATTGCGTCTTACAATAGATAGTAGGAGGTTTCCAGATAGAAGAGATGGATCGACCTGCTCTCACAGTTTGCCGCACCAAATGCTAAACGAGCCCGCAAAACCGGTTGGTTTCGTTTGCTCATTATAAAGAGCAAACAGCACCGAATTATCAGCACAATGGGTATATAGTATATAGTATAATCTTTCAATGTGTGGCACACACCTCCAAAACAATTATCATACCGAATATTGAAATGCGAACTGAGTTCGCCAAATGCGTGAAATACAGCACGTGTGTTGTGGGGGGTGGTGGGTATTTTTTCGGTTTCTTTGGGGGTTGGGCACTTTTCCAAGTTTAGCAGCTGAGCGCGGCTAAAATTAAACGCTTTTCATTGAACTGCCGGTGCAGGAAACCTTTGAGAGCGAGAGCTAGTGCGTTCATCAACGCAACACAAAACGAATAGAAAATTGCAGCCTTGAACGTGATTGTGGCTATTCTAGAGGTTCTGAGATGCACGTAGATAGATCACAAAGAGGAAACTAAAGAGATCTCAAAGCTTTTTTCAAAAAGTTCTTTTATCTTCTTGATCTTATCTGTCCGCCCAACTAACACAATTTTTTGGCAAACATTTAAGTAAGCCATATAAAATGACTGATAATGACTTATCTATAGATCTGTTTTTAAAATATAACATGAAAAATTTTAAGGATATTTTATAATGAAAGAATAAGTTTAAAATCTTTATTCATATTTTTCGAACTATTTGTTAAATGTTCTAATTCGTATTAGTTTTTAAAAATTAGCATTAAATAGTATGTTTTAGATGAGATTTAGAACTTAAATCATTCAAGTTTTTAAAGACTGATGTATTTTACCATAAATATTCACCGTACCAACGTTTTCAGCTCTTTTATCTCGAAAAGTTAAGCCCAAAAGTAGTTTTGCAAATACTCACACTTTTGCTTTGCGGCTTAAATATGATTTGCAGTGATATTTGATATCTGCCACCCATAAACCACTTTTTGATAAGGAATCTGGGCAGTAGAACGCCTTTATCAACCACTGTGCACTGGATGCTGTTGTTGCCGGCGCTTGATAAACGTAAACAAGCTCGTTAGGCAGTGTTTGTGCACTTTTTTCTCTGCTCTCTTGCACTCAGTCAAGGTTGAGGTTTACTACGGATCCAGTTTATCCAGCCAGCGTTTTCCATTTCGGTTCTAGCATTGAAATGTGTTTGCTATAAATAGCTGGGGGGTGATTGAGGGGGGCAAGAGATAGTAAAGCAGCTACAACATCATCAAAAATGGACTTTGGACCCCTTGAAAAACAACTGGGGGGAATGAAAATGTATGCAAATAACACAGGAATTACACTTGCACATATGTATTTTCTTTCCACTTTAATTTGAAAAATTCGATTCGCAATGCTCTTTGTTGTTTGTTTACAAAGTTGGAAGTCGTATAAGAATACTACGTGACTTAATTCTGATTGGAGTGCATGCTATGCGAAGGGAATGAGGAAAGGAGAAAACAGCTGTTGCCTGCCAAGTGTTGTTGTTGTGGCTTTTATTTCTCTTGTATTTAAATCTTTTGGATTAAAAAGGGACAGGGAAGGGTGGGGTATTTGCACCCCTTCTCTTTGCAATCATTAATTAGCTCTCTTGTTTACACCGATTAACACTTGCAACACCCAAAACACACTCACACACGGACACCTTATATAATTGGACAAAACGAGAACAACAAATTATTTACTTATATGTATAAGTGGCTCTATGTGGGGCCTCCACGCACCTTTGTTTTTGTTAGCACAGATTCTTTTTTTTCGGCCTCTCTCTCTTTTGCTCCTTCGGCCTTGGCAACAATAACAACAACACAGAACTGTTGCTAGCTGTCCGCACTGATTTTCACTTCTTAAATCACAGGTGCTGTTTCACTGTACCGCAGGTAACCCTTTTTCACTATTTCGACAGCCTCCGATTTGTTAATAAACATTCTCCGCGCGATTCTCGACTCCGATTGACAAAAACATCAAGAACGCAGGAACGGCCTTGCCAGACCGGTGACGTTGCCAGAGTTAACGAGCAATTCAACGGTTGCACAGTGGGCAAAAATACTTGACCAAGAAAGAACAACAAATAACGTAGAGCAAAGATTTGCCGAAAAAATCTAGTGATTTTTTCATATCATTTTTAATTTTAAAAGGTCTTGATTACCCTTGCTGAGTGGAAATACAAATAAAACATTTTGTGAATAAGTATTTGAAGTTTAATTTATAGAACTACGATAATTTGTAATTTAAGTAATTTTGATGATTTCTTAGTATCTATATATAATAGTAACATACACGAAAAAATTAAAACAGCTTAAAAAAAATATATTATACAACATTTTGAATGTAATTTAACAAGTTGCTGCCCAAGATAATTACTTGACATTAATTACTTTTAAACGACAGGTTTTTCATATTTCCACAATCACATTTCAAATCTCAAGACATCCGTACCCATCGTCTCGGCGATAGTTCGCGGTCTGGCAACACCATGCCTAGCTGGCGCAACCAACTTCACGCGAGACGCACCGAAAACAAAAAAAACTGAAAATAATTGAGGGAAACCCAATAAAAAGCGAGCGAAAAGGACCATGAACGTAGACCTGCGATCGTACTCGCGCCACTGGCTCACGGAGTTCATCGAGCAGTACCAGGAGGAGGAGTGCCTGTGGCAGCCGAAGCACAACGACTACAGCAATCACGCAGCCCGGAACAAGTCCTACGACCGCCTGGTTGAGAAACTGAAGGAAGTGGAGCCCAATCCGGACAGGGCGATGGTTGTTAGGTGAGATTCCCTCTCCAAAGCATTCTTCGTGCCATGTAACTCCATTTTTCCCCTGCAGGAAAATCAACTCCTTACGCTCTGCTTTTCGGCGGGAATTCCGCAAGACGACCAGCAAAAACGACTACGAAACGCGACTGTGGTACTACGACAAACTGCTCTTCATCGCCGATCACAAGCCCAAGCGCCACGAACTGGGCACCAAGCCCAAGCGGGAGCTCCATATCAGCTTCGACGACGAGGAGTCCATGGAGTTCGAGGACGACTCACATCACACGGGCACCCAGTCGCAGCACATGGACTCCATAATTCCCACATCCCCGGACGAGGTGGAGGAGGTGGCGACCACGGCACCAATGTGGTGGTCAGCAGCCAGGGCGCCACCCTGAGCACCATTTCGGTGACGCCCGCGGAATGTGTGACCCTGGTCAAGAGCGAGGAGCAACAGGCAGCCGAGGCGGCGGCTGCAGCAGCCCAGGCGCACCAGCAGCTGGTGGCCCACGCAGCGGCGCAGACTTCCATAGCGGCGGCAGCGGCTCAGGGACATGCCGTGAAGGTCCTTGAGATTACCTCCCTGGACTCCAACTCCCAGCGCGAGATACAACAGGTGGTAATCCCAGAAAAGGCAAGAGAGCCTTCTTAATAAACCCTCTCTCCACCCAGGCGGTAAACCATTTGGAGCACCACCAACAGCAGTTGCACCTCCAGCAGGCCAATGGGCAGCACCAGGGAGTGCCCACCATCCAAATAGGACGCGATCACTACCAGCCTTTGTTTGGCAATGCCGGCACCACTGCCTACACCACCACAGCTCCAACCACCTCGCATCGGCACGACGACGAGTACGATGCAATTGGCGTGAATGTGGCCAGCAAGCTGCGCTCCATCAATCCCACACAGCGAATCGTGGCGGAGAAGCTGATCAGCGATGTTTTATTCAATGCCCAGCTGGACAACCTCACCGTCAACTCGGCCCTCACGCAGTAATCTCCCTCGTCCCTAGGTTAGTTTATGTAGTCTCTGGCTTTATGTGTCTGTTTGTCCCAAGCTCCGGTCTGGCCAAGTGTCGCCCGGCCAGTAGCTGATTGTACCATACCGTTTGTATGTAGTTTTAATTATTCTATACAATAAATAGATTGTATGTCTTAAGCTCATCACAAGAAGGGTCGTCACTCTGCCGAATTTCCGCCGCCCGACAGCTTGTTCCACACGAACCTGGCAAACTGGAGGAAGAGGAGCTGCTGTCTTGAGAGGATCATCCCATGGATTGGGATTTACGTACCGTAACCGGCGGCATGTCGATCTGTTCCGCCTCCGTGACCAGTTTCCTGTTGCTCTGCATGTAGCTCCAGCCCAGATGGATCCCCACCAGACTGGGGATCATCACGATGGCCACAAGGTTGCGCGACACGAACGAGGGTTGCTTGGACATCTCTATAAAGTGCGTAAAACAAAATTATTATTATTTAACAACTATCAAAAACAACATGGGGGGATGTGACCGCATTGGGGAACGTAAATAATCTTATCTACGGAAAATACTAAACGAAAAGTGGGTCCGGGCCCTAGAAAAGCCGCTAGGTTTGAATCAAGTTTTTATCTCCCCCAGCTGGGTTCAAAGTCCAAAGTTTTGGGGATAATAATGGGAAACTGAAAGACTTTTGGCTCTTTGTCTGGGACTCGGCATGTTCTAGCAGATAAGCATCTGTCATTAGCTCGTTGCGGTGGCTGGGTTTGATAACAGATGTGGTTAGAATAGATCAATGACATTACATTGTATAGTGATATTGTATTTTTGGGCATATTAGTTGCACATTTTTATTATATTGTAAAAATAGCTTGAGGTAAATAGTTAATTTTAAGAATCATTTGCTAAGTTTTTGTAAACTATAACTTTTTTTTTAATTTTAGCTTAAGTAGGTTTCAAATGTATACATTTGGTTATGTTTACAAATTATTTATAAAATAAAGATACTTTAATTTAAAAAGTTAGTTAAGTACTATAAGACCAAGCTTTATTAAAATTTAACTGTAATTGATTTGAAGTAGTCTTATTTCGGATAGTTTAAGTTTAAGAAAAATCTGTATGTTGTTTTAAGTATCTTGTAAATTATGAATTTTTTAATGTAAACAAAGATATTAACTTAAATTAGGATTTAATGTTACTAAACCAAAGGATTAGTTTATAGGTCTTAAACTCCAATTTAAAATCCATTCTGGTCACACTTAGGGAAACTTACTAACTGTTAATTACCAGCCCACTGCGTCTCCAACTAACCTTTCCCCACATTCCCTACTCAACCCATTAAGTGCGAAATCCACACCCGCACCGTGGTCGGGGACGGGCTCGTGTTCGGGGGACTACGTTGGGGCCAAACTGGAGGCTAAGACTCTGATGCGGTCTATGCACTTTGCGCACACAACGACAGTGCCAAAGCAAACAATCTGTTATTGACGTCGGCGTCGGCAGCACATTTGTTGTTATTCAGTTTTGGACAGCACCTGCAATTTCAGTTGTAGTTTCAGTTTTAGTTTTCGGTTCTCGGCGAGCGGACGCGCCACTGGATAGTATAGATATACATATATATTTTTGGTTGATTTGCGAGTGAGTTTCCCACCCATTGTTTTGCCACCTGCCCTCAATCCTCATCCTCCTTCCTTTTGGCAGTGCTAAAATCGATATTTGCCGTGGTCCGTTTGCACCTGGAGGAGCTGTGGCTCAGGTAAGCGAACCGCCGGTGACCTTGGTCGCCAATCACCTTCCTTGCTGCGATACTTCTCGGCCTGCCGGAACCACACAGATAGGCCAGCCAACCGGCCACGTTAATGATCAGGATCAAAATCAGGCCGTAGAAGATCACGATCATCACCTTCTGCCGTCGCGTTGTTCTCGCCAGGGAATGTGGTGACGGAAAACTAGGGGATCAGAGGGGTTCTCAGGATCAGAGGTCCAGGGAAGGAAACACCATCCAGCCGGCTTACCGGCATCCTCGGCACCTGTCCATGCACAGGTTTTTTGGATAACATCAGGGTCAATGTCTACTAATCAGTATAATTTGATTTTCAAAAGAGACATGTTTACAAAAATTTCTTAAACAAACACAGGATTATTTAAATTTACAATAGGTTTATAGGTTTTTATCATGAATTTTACCTTTGAAGGTGGTATTGCGACTTAGTATTTAAGATTGTAAACCACCGAAGTTCACTGAGTGACCAGCAATTTTCCATTGCTCGCTCCGTTCTAAAATGATGAATACAAAATTTTCCAAACGCCCCATTTTATAATTCCGCAAGTCATACCTAAAACTCGTTTGCATATCATGTAACTACGATACAGGAAACTACCAAGCCAATTTAGCATAATTTCGATCTTTATTCTAATTTTTACTTGGAGTCTTACTTGTTTAAGATTAAAGCTTTGAGTGCTGCCATAACCAGATTATTAAAAAACAGCTTGTACTTTGTACCTTTGGGGTAAAAATTTCAATCTTTGAAGAGGCTTCTTATTTGTAGATTGGGGGTTCAATAATTATGACTCAGAAATGATTGTGCGAAAAGTAATCCGACCCCAAGTAGAAAATCACATCTCGTTAACTGTTGCTAATGATTTTCTCATACTAAGATAATAGAAACCTACACATTTGACCCAAACCAATAACAAAAAATGAAATAAAACGTGATGTATTTGGTATAGTATCATTAATTTGGTACATTTACATATCTCACTATGATTTAAAAGACGTTTTTACGATAAATGCTTGACTATCACAAATATTTAGTCGTTAAACTGAGGATCTAAAGGATCTGAGAATTAGGATATTTTCTGTGATACTGAATTATGTTATCCTTCTTCAGCTTGGCCAGCTCCTCCGGCCATAGCCCAATAGTTCCCCCAGCACTTCATCAGTATGCTGTCCCAGAATCGGAGGAGCTGTCCGGGCATCGTTCCGCGCTTCACTAAAGACACAGGAGGACCCACCACCTTAACGGTTCCATCTTTCGGGTGCCGAAGGCTCTTAACCAAGCCAATGGCTTTGATGTGCTCGTCATCGAAAACCTCGGGAATGGAGTTCACAGGTCCCACGGGAAAGGAGGCCCCCTCGAAGAGCTTCATCCAGTTGCGGAGGTGTCCTCAGCTAGCATCGATTCCAGGAAACCGATTAGCTCCTTTCGATTTAAACACGATCTTTGTTTGTCTTAAACTTTGGATCCTGCGGCAAATGTTCCACCTTCAAGCGACGACACAGATCCTCGAACTGAACATCACTGCCAGTGCCCAGAGTGAGTAGCCATCCTTGGTCTTGAAGCTCTGATACGGAACTATGCTCGAGTGGGCAGTGCCCATCCTTCCTGCTTCGACTCCGGAGTTCAAGTAGTTACTGCCCACGTTGAGCAACAGGAGCAGCAGGTGGACAGCAGGTCCACCTCGATCTTCTGGCCTCGCTGAGTGCGGGTCCTTTGATAGAGGGCTGCCAGAATAGCTCCATGGGCATAGAGCCCCGTGTCATGTCCGTCACAGCCACGCCCACCTTGCTGGCGGTCCATCCCGCTCCCCGGTGATGTGCATCAGTCCTCCAACCGAAGAAGCAATCACATCGTAGCCGGTCGCTTGGCATACGGTCCCACGGAGCCATAGCCCGTCATTGAGCAATAGATCAGCTTTGGGTTGACCTTCCGCAACTGTTCGTAGCCCAAGCCATAGCGTCCAAAGTACCAGGCACATAGTTCTCCACCAGGACATCGCTAATCTCGGCCAGCTTGTGAAGAAGTTGAGTGCCCGCTTATATCGATGCAGATGCTACGCTTGTTGCGATTTGGGGCCAGGAAATAGGCGGCATCTTTGCTGTTCTCCAGGAACGGGGTCCCCACTTCCTGGCCTCGTCGCCAAAGTGCGGACGCTCCACCTTGATGACCTCCGCCCCAGATCCGCCAGAACCATGGTGCAATAGGGACCGGCGATTATGCGGGATAGGTCAAAATCCGGATCCATGTAGGGGGTGTCGCTCGTCCACATCGCTGGCATTATCGGGGTTTGTTTTTATCGCCAGCGGCTGCAAAGTTTCTCAAGCTCTGGCGGCAAACTCCGTAATTAACAAATCCCCGGCCGAGTCGCCAGTTTAGTGACAGCATGGTTCTTTTTTGTTGTTTTGCTTGTGGGTCAACTAATCTGACGGCTATATGTACAATATATGATATGTATGGAAAGTTTTTGCGGAACAACTTGATCCGCGGCCACTTTTATCGTCACTGAAAGTGGCCCTCCATTCAAAAGTCCCCAGAAGCTCGTTGTCTTATCTCTTTGAAGGTGGTTTCTCTTAAAACTCACCGAAGAGTGAGAGCTTTTTAACTATCTTAACTCGCAGATAAACAAAAACTTCGAAAACCCCCCGAAAAATAAAACAAGAAACTCTCTTTCTCTTTTCGATTCACCTTGGGGAATTTCCCCGAGAATGTCTCGAATCCTTTCGGTTTTAAGTAGGGAATTGCCTTCGCCGACCACAAGTTAATAAGAGGTTAGTCATCTGCGATGGCATATCATTAAAATCAGATCGAGACAAGTAATTATCTTGCTGCATTGTGTTGTTCTGTACTCCGATTATATCACCTTGCTGACATCTTGGATAGCGTGATCTTGGGCTAAACGAATCGGATGAAAGGCATTTATACCGGCAGAGAACAGGCATTTTGTTTTTCTTGAAAAATTGACAAGCCGAGAGCCTAATGTGGGGCAATTATTTCCTAATGACCAGCACAATTAAAAAGTAATTTTAATGTCGTGGCTGGATAACTTGCGCCTGAATGCTCACCATAAGTGTCAGACGGATCAGTGATCTGTAAATACTAAGTTTAGTGATCTTAATTGATGGACACAACTGGTTCGTCCACGCGAGATTAATTAAGATTCATGCACAGAAACAGAAATGTATGCAAATCGATTCCGTGTTAAAAATTCAAGGGCTTCCGAATGCGATTTTGGGTAGGATGAAAGAAATAAATTAAAATGTTATCCCAAGTGACTTTACTGCGGTAGCAAGTTTATAAAAATAAATAGAATAAATTTTTGGTCTGCCTAAGAGTAAACATTTCCATCCAGAATTATAATCTTTTGGTAACTTTCCCATTGTTAATTAAAGTCGGTTCGAATTCTATGCATCAAGGCCACAAAACAATTTTCTCTTGTGTAGAATTCTAGCTAATTTTAGATAATACCTGTTTCTGGCTAGACACTCACTCGTTACCAGGGTTTAAAAATAAGTTCAAGGTTCTAGTTCCTTGGAAGTGTTTTTCAAGCGGTGGCATTTCCCCCGGAAACCTCGCCTCGTGGAATCAATATTTATTTTCAGAATGACGTTGCAGCTACAATGTGTGTGCTGTGATGATCTCAGGTTGAGCTGGAACTGGGCCTGGGGTCAGCACACATATGTAGGCTTTAACTGCCCGATACGAACCGAAAGCTATAGCCATAGCCCATTGGCTCTCGCCGATCTGTGTAATTAACGATAGGAGTCTGGATCCTCCCTTTGTTCGCAGGGCGGTAAACAAGGCGATAGCATTCCGTGATTCGAATTCGATTTTAATCACTGGGATCAAGAGTTCAGGCCATGTAATTGTTGAACTTATGAAAATGACGCACTTACTGTGGCTTAATGGCCACATTTCCTTTGGGCCAGATGGGAATCACAATTATTGTTAAGATGCCAAGCCGGTCTTAAGAGAGAGCCAAAGAGAACTAGCAGTTGGAGCTTGGGAGTGCTCGTGAGATGGGAGAGTGGGGCTTTAAATACTCTGTGGCAAGCTTGGCCAGCGTTTATTTACTCAGCTCGTCTCGTTCGCGTCGGTTCGGCTCGTCGATCCGCCAGATAGATATATACGTGCATATAGAGAGATACAGAAACCGAAAGCGATACCCATACCGATTCCGAGTTTAGATGCAGATTGAGATAGCCAGTGGTTTCTGAGTGCAACAAAATGAAAGCCGGCCAAAGGCTGCGCATGCGTCGGCAGCGCCTCAACTCGAGTTATTCGCGAGTGCATCCCGCAGATACGGCCAGCTACTAGTGGCCAATGCAGCCAAGAAAGCCCCGACTCAACTCGACTATTAGCCAACTGACCAAAAAGCAAAAAATCATCTCGTCGAGCTCTCCAGCACAGCACTACTCGGTACCCGAAAAAATTGTGCAAGCCAAAAAGTCGATTGCAGTCGTCGTCAGCTGCGGATTGCCGATTGCGGATTGCACAATCCTGGCAACCTGTTGTTGTTGTTGGCTGGCTGCTGTGTGTTGTGTGTTTACCGTGTATCTGCTTAAGATACACCCATCCATAATTTCCCCCCATCCAGTGGAGTGTTGAGGAAAAGGCATCAAAATTGCTGTGCTACTCTGTTCCAGGATCCTGGGGTACATCATGCGCCGGTTCCTGCGCTCGGCCATGATCGTCTTCAGCTGGTTCGTCGTCCCCTACAGCCGGTACACCAACATCAAGGTGATCCGGCGGAAGCTGCCGCCCATCCGGAGTCACCTGCTCGAAATACCCGCCGTCGACCTGGCCAAACTGATTCGCACCAGAAAGGTGAGTACGTCTATCCAGTAATCCTTTCTAAAAACTAGCTCTATTCTCTTATATTTTATTTTAAATGGGTCACTTACGCAAAGATACCTGGTAAATGGGTTGGCCGAAATCTTGCCAAATCAATGGATAGACTGTTGCCACAGTAGCGGTTTCTGTTTTTGCTTCTCTTGCCACATATTTATTAGATACTCGGTGTGCAAAGTTGGCCATTACTATTGATTGCAGCCATCTCTTCAGGAGTCGGTAAAACACAGCTCGACAGAAAGTAAAAACCTATAAAAGACAATGACTTTAGTTTTCTTTTTTCACTTTAAAAGATGCGGAGAGGCTGGCCCCTAACATTTCAATTAGACAAGTGAGCCATAAAAAAAGGTCGAGGGTAGAAGCTCTGGCCACCAAGCAGTGGGGTAAATACCCTTATAAGCATATTAAACAGCTTTAAGCAGAAAGAAGAACCATATCAGGGTGAGGTTCAAAGTCGAAGAATTTTGTTTTTGTCTTGATCTTCAGTTTCTTTTCAGATTTTCTAGATAAACTTAAAAGTGCAATATAAGTTATATTCTTGACTAGAAAAAACGAAAAGCTACTTTTATATAACGTAGATTTTTGAATTTTACTAAGTGTAATTACTTAAAAAAATATTTTTTGTTTTAGTTACCATTTAAATGTACGAAATGTTTTGAAAGTGTAATAAAAATGTCGGGTTATTTTTTAGGCTCATAATTGGCTTACAATTGCTTCACATTCAGGCAATTTTGTAGGCATAGCCATAAATAACGTAACTCTTGGGGTCAATAAGCTGAGTTCAAATATGTAAAGTTCACAACATTCAAAACTTATCAGCTGTGGAGTAAAGCAAAGAAGCAAAACAAAAACCTTGAAAATGTTTATTTATGGAGATAAATGATTATTTTTAATTTGGCGTTGCCTTGTTATTGGAAGATTTTAGAAAAAATTCCTATCGCGAAATTTCCGACAGTCTAATGAAAACGTATTTCATTATAATCCTGTTTTTAATGCGTCTCTTCGAGAAACATAACAAGCATTCTACGAGTCATGCCGGCGTAATACCGCCAGATGAAACCGAAATCAATTTGGGTTTTTTTAGCTTCCATTTCTACTGTCGTCACAAACACTTAAGCCAATTGGCCCAAAACAGAGGAATATAGACAGCAGGCATTGAAGAAACCCAGCGAGTTAGTCATCTAAAGTATTACCAAGCATTTTTATGATGCGAGCAGAAATTTCGCAAAGCATTATTATTCACACAAGGCCTAGACGTCTGGTGTTTTTTTTATCGAAGCTTAATCGCTTGGTGTACCCATATCCATATCATATCCATAACCAAATCCACACTTATGTCCGTGAGATTTTTGAACCAGGCCCATATTTTTGCTGCCATCAATTACATGCCACATGTGCCTTGGTTTCTTTGTAAATATCCGCGGGATGTGCAAGATCGCAGCGTTCATTGGTCCACATCCACATCGTGTGAGGTCACCACTCGAGAGACCTTATCGTGCCAGCACTATCCGCCCTCCAGTTACCATATTTTACTTCATGGGCTGCCTTTGCTTAATCGCATTTGCTGCATGCACTTGGTTACTTGGGTAGTTTCGGTTTTAATGCACGTCCGTCTGAAGTACAAAAGTTTTATTTTATATTTTTTTCGAATTTTTTTTAGTAGCGCTTTTAACTGCTTTTGTCTTCTTTCGGTCAGCAGGCACTCATATGGTGCGTACGACTGCTAAATATTATTATTTTAATTATGCTTTTTATATGTTTTTTCCCCTCTTAATTGTCGGCTGTTTCATTGTCATAGGTTAAGCATTGCCTCACGACGAGCCAAGCGTAATGATTTTGTAATTGGCATTATATCAGAACTTGCATCTAGTTAACCGATCAACTATATTAAATAATGATCGTTGTGTTAACGACTAGAGACTGCGCTTAAGAAAGTGATACTGCTAATTGCCTTGGTCCGTTGTTGTCTTTTAATTGGATCTATTAGATCTTGGTTTCCGAGTTGGATGGTTTTAAAAATAAGTCGTCGGTTCATAGACCGGTACTATTTAGATGAGCTATCTGAAATCTGCTCATGTGAAATTTGTACTTGAATCGCATAATTCGTGCTTCGTTTTCGTCAGTTTGTTTTGCTCTGCCAGTTGACTCTTTTTAGCACGTACTTCATACACAGCATATAGACCCGAGCATATATACTCGACTCGACGAAACTGTGTCGGTATGTCGCGATTTCTTTATACTACACACTATATGCTCTCGGTGCCACAAGATCTTTTCCACTTTGCAAACATTGAACGTTGGATGGTATCGGTATCGGAGTCGAAAGCTTTTCGGTCGCTGATTTCGTATCCCCTCGGAGCCCTCGAGACCCCATTATCCGTTGCATGTTGTTGCCATGTTGCACTGTGTTTACCTGCTCGGAACCCCCCCTCTTGCCATCACTGATTTATTATTACACTGGAAGTCATTGAAAAAGTCAAGTAGCCTTAATTTTAATTATACATAGGTATAGGTAGGTACATAAGACGGGGTTTTACATATGCCGGTGCATCATTTGTGCGTTGCATGAGCCTGTATTAAAAGGCAAAGTAAGGCAATTTATGTCTCAATCCAAGGTATAGGGGTGCCCAATGGAAGGCCTTCTGCCTCCGATTACCCAGATTAACTGAAATCAAGTTCAGAGGTTAGACTCGATTGCCATTTGTGGTTCGAGGTGTTCGGTAACAGAAATGATTTGCTACTTGTTTTCCATTTGATTGATACCTAAACGCAGCCAAGCTCGATTTCTTATTGCTTCTTATAACATGTCGTTTTGATTGATACGTGTTTCCCCCCTTAATTAACTAATCAGATCTTTGCACTATCGCTGCATTTGAAAACCGAGTGAGAATGTGATTAATTATAGGATCTGCTACCAATTACGACTCTAAATACTGTTGAAGGGTGATTTAATTGTGGCGATTCTTGGGATACTAATTAGTTTATTGACTGTTAAATTAATGGTTGGCATGTGACTCACAAGAGATCAATTTGATAGCTATGTACGTGTTTTGATCTATTGATCGCTTTATTATCTGTGCTTCCGCTTCATATGAAAAATTAATAATTTTTATTTTCATATTATTTTGTTTGTCAGCCCATTTGGTTTTATTGCCTGGAATTCTTTCTTCGTGAATTAATTGTGACACATACAGGTGATCAATACGTGCTTAAGCCTATGGATCAGCTAAGTATTGTTCTTTTCTGATTCTTACACGTTTGTTTTCAATAATTTTTGTATAATCTATCAGGCCTTTGTTATCTTTTGTTTGGTTTCGTTCAACTGATAACTTGTTTTCTAGTGTCGATCTTAACTCTACTTTGTCTAACCACTTAAGATATCCTATTATTATCTCTTCTTGTTGATTTAAGACTTTTTTATTTCCTCAATGCATATTTGAACTCTTAATTTCAAATAGATTTTGCATTGAAGAGCAACACGGAAATCAACCTGAAGGCCATCGATTGATATCTCAATTGTCACATGTCACTGGCTTATGTTGCTTAGCATAATTGACCTGTGAACGGGATTGATGAATGAATCAATTTCAAGAATACCTCACTTTGAACCCAGACCTGAAGAGTTCTATACCCCCGTACCATTCAGACATTACTCATACGTCATGGGGCCAATGCATGCAGCGCGAAATGAACGTCACGAATGCAAGTTGTGTTTGAGTTTGTCTTTTTATTGATTTTAATTTAACACAAATTGCTTTTTTGCTATGGCACTGGCACTGGCCGCGGCTCAATAGACTTTTGAATTGATTGCTGGGAATGAGAATGGGTTTGGGTATGGGTAAGGGTATGGGAATCCGGGTGGAATGTGAGCTGGGTGCAATGCAGGGAAAACTGCGGAAATACTCTAACATTCTTTGCTTTCCATTTGCAGATTAAAAGCGAAGAAGTCGTAGAAGCCTATATCGAACGATGCCGACAGGTGAGTTATTGTGGGAAACAAATTAACCCAATTCAAACTGAATTACTTAACTTTATTTGGTATACTGATTTATAGATTTATGGAAAATCGTAATTACACGTTATTCCACAAAAGAACGAAATTCAACTGAATCGTTAAAATTTTAATGACTTAACCACTAAACTTAACGATTTCCAATTACGCAAAGAGAATAATTATTATTATTCATTTTATGGAAACAATTTTATGAACTAGCTACTTTGTTATTCATACATTGTTTTGAAAATGAATAAGCATTTTTTAACGTATAATTTTTAAATGAACTTTATCTTTGCTTATTCTTATATCAATAACAATTTAAAATGTATTATTTTTATTTAAATGGTTTCTAGCCGTTTCTCAATAGCTTGTTAAATTAAAAGAAGGTTTTAAAGTTTAAAATGTAAGCCAATAAACATATGGAAATTTTGAGTTTTAGCTTAATATGAGCACATGTGTTACGATTTTGAACAAAAATAATTTTCAATAACTTCAGTTTTATGAATATTTAAAAGAGCAACAGTATTGAACGTGCGATTTTTATTGATTTACAGGTGAATCCCCTGATAAATGCCATCGTGCAGGATCGCTTCGAGGAGGCACTGGAGGAGGCCCGTGAGATCGACAACGTGATAGCCATGGGCATCAACAGCGTGGAGTCGATGGAGGAGCTGACCCCGCTGCTGGGAATCCCAGTGACCGTCAAAGAGAGCATCGCCGTCAAGGGGATGACAAACCAGGCGGGTCGCGTCTTCAAAACACCCCAGATAGCCAAGTCGGATGCGCCCGTGGTGGAGCAGATCAAGCGCTCCGGCGGCATCATCCTGCTGGTGTCAAACACACCGGAGCTCTGCCTGCTCTGGGAGACGTACAACAATGTGACGGGTCAGACGAAGAATCCGTACGACCTAAAGCGTACGCCGGGCGGATCGTCGGGCGGCGAGGCGGCCCTCCTGGCCAGCGGTGCCTCCCTGCTGGGCCTCACCTCGGACATAGGCGGCTCCTCGCGCCTGCCGGCCATGTTCAGTGGCATCTGGGGCCACAAGCCCACCCCGTATGCGGTCTCCTTCCGGGGTCACCATCCGACGAGCGACTTCCCCAAGTGGGGTGACTTCTTCACTATCGCTCCAATGACCCGCTACGCCAAGGATCTGCCGCTGCTGCTCAAGTGCATGAGCGATCCCACGGGTCCCAAGCTCACGTTGGATCGGGCGATCAGCGTAAACGGGATTCGATTCTTCTTCATGGACAACGACGGGCCGTCGGGCATGATGCGACCCCTGAGCCGGGATCTGCATGCGGCCATCAACCGTGTGGCCACCGATTTCAATGCCAAGCGGGTGAACATCCGGAAGATGAAGTGGTCCCTGGACATCTCGCTGTCGGCCATGCTGACCATGAAGAACATCGAGACCATCTACCACAAGACGGAGGAGGGCGAGCAGCCCAAGACCGTGTGCAAGGAGACGGTGAAATACTTTTTCGGCTGCTCAGACAGCATCCTGCCTTCGGTGATCTTTGGCCACCTGCAGAACTTCATGAAGATCATACCGAACTCGAGGCACAAGCACCTGGCCAGCATCATCGAGGCGCTCAAGACTGAATTCAAGGAGATGCTGGGCAACGACGGCGTCTTCCTCTACCCGACCTTCCCCAACACGGCGCACCAGCACTACCAGATCTACCACAAGCTCCTGGAGCCCATGTACATGGCCATCTTCAATACGCTGGGCCTGCCGGTGACCAACTGCATGATCGGCCTGGACCGGCGCAACCTGCCCATGGGCATCCAGGTGGTGGCCAATCCCGGCCAGGATCATCTCTGCCTGGCGGTGGCCCGGGAAATGGAACGCCGCTACGGCGGATGGGTGCGTCCTCCGTCCGAGGATAGCCACAGCAGCAGTGGGAGCAGCAAGCAGCGTGGCTAGGGATCTTCAGCTTTATCCTGTGCGTGATTCAATTGTACTTTGTTTTGTATTTAGCTAATTGTACACACTGTCGAGCAGTTAGGGAATTTCAGAAGAGACTTTAAAATGGATTTAGACAAATCACTGTTATCAGCCGGTACTGGTTGAATGGTAGAAAGGAATCCCCAGAGCAAACTCTTTATCTTTATCCACACATCACACCACCACAAAGCATTCGGGACCTTCGAAATTAATAATCTCGCGTCATTACCCATATTAAATTATTGTCAAAAAATCTCCTCAGAGCTTGTACATCGTATTCGTATTCGTATTATCTTTACCTATATGTAAATATTCGTCTAGCATCTAAGTGTTAGGTTTATGTCGCGTCCGGCAGAGATCGATAAATATAACCAGTATGTGTATGTATGTACGTTTTGTAGCATCTCGTTTAAACAACTTTAAAAACAAAAACTTTACGACTTTTGCAAAGAACCAAATTCGTTGAATAAATACGTAACAGAAAAATATTAACCGAAATTTCAACTTCTGTGGCGCAATTGCCGCCGAAAAGCAGTTGGCCTCCACTTGGAAGCCATCGAGGGAGGTCCGAGTACGAGTCCAAATCCACGAGAGCTTTGAAATTGGGCTCACCTGAGCAGCGGACCCGAAGACTAATAAAACAAGTATTAGACGGCTACTAGAGACAATACACGCTCGGAAACATGTACCACTTAATAAATGGTTCCACTTGGCTGCTCTGGCATAGAGAATCTTACTTACAGTCGGGCCTATTTTAGGAAAGTTTTCACAAAAATAAACTTTAGGCATATAGGGATTACAGACTCTTAATATTCAATTAGGGGTTCTTAAGAACTGGAATTATTCTTTATATTCATTGTTGTCCACTAGTTTGGATTTGCTTTGTAAATTTAACGACTTAAAATTACCAAATTGAAATGTCTTCATTAAACGTACCCATATAACCAGTATTCCATTTAAGATTTTAGTTTATTTTTCGATAGGAGAAATCAAATAACTTCTAAAATACATTAAGTGAATGTTTCCCCTATTGAAGTTCGACTGTAGTTACTACCTACTTACTCAAAAGTCCCAGAGACTGGGAAATCTAATCTAATAGCCTTAATCGCGCGCATGCGCAGCCGTTTTCCCCCAGCTGCCTGTTCAGCTAAGTGCATTCTAATGCATTTTTGTCATTCGAAATGCCGAATTTTGTGCACATTTTATTGGCCTGGCTAAGGCGAATTTGGAGTTGGATTTGGTGTTCGCTAGTTGTTTACTAGTTTTCTATTGCAAAATATATTTTCGCGTGCGTGTGTATGTGGTTAGTTTTCGGCTTTTGGAGTAGCCCAAGGTTGCGCCAATATGGCTTGCGCAATTCCGCTGTTGGCGGTGGCCCGAACGTGGTATTTGGCCAGAAAACTCGGAGGTAGCTCAGATTCTTGCCCAAGAATGTGGCGGTCGTTGGCTGTGGAAAAGTGTTTTGGCCAATGCCAGGCGAAAAAAGTTTGTGGGGTGAGCCGGACTGCATTGCCTCGAAATTGGGTGAAAACATTTTCAATTATCTAGACTCTAGAGCGGAAAACGCAAGGCGGCATGACGAAAACTATGGAAATCTCAAGTCATGATTCGACTACCGTCAGGGGATTACTGGAAGGCGAGCCTCTCTTTCGACAGCCGACTGTCTTCTCCCCCTGGAAGGCCGTCTACCTGAGATACCTGTGCGCTCCAGAGAGCCGAAACTGTTTCGAAATCGAGTCAAATGGAGTGAGAGGCGTTCCAAGAAGACCGATACGAACAATACGGGAGAAGGAATAAATACATACATACAACTATTAAACAAAATATTAAAAGATACTATTTAATAAAAATAATTTTACGATCTTGAATAAATATATACTCTTTTAAGGTTCTCTACCGCTTACATCGGCTAAAATTAGCAATAGAGAAATTTAAATATTAAAAACTCTTTAGAAAATACTAGAAAAAAACAGGAATTCTTGAGCAAAGGCTATCTTCTCCAAGGACAGTCTTCTATTAATCTACTTAATCTGAAACCGGAATCCTCTTTATTAACTATTTAAAGGGGGCCATTGCAAGAGTATATGTATAATCCGTCCCTGATAAAACACTCGAACGGTTATCAATTGTTGCTGCCTGCCTTGTAGCCGAATTCACCGACCTCAGCACTACATAAGTCGGATCGGAGAGATATATTAGAGAGGGAGAGCGGAAATATCATTTCAGTCGTCAGCATTCCAGCCTGACCATAACCAGAGACGACTCCAGCCGTATTTCGGCTTCGGAGCAGTGCGTTCATTTGGAAACTGAACCGAGAAGCGAGCGGTTGTGTCCGTCTCATAGCTAAGGCCTTACTGTAGTCCCAGTCCCAGTTTGACTGTACCAATTATAACCTTTGTAATCTGCGCATTTGAGGTGACAAATCCATCGCATATTTGTTTACCGTGATCTACGCAGAGAGATTAAAACTGTGTCGATTACCGTGTTAAATCAACTAGAAATCAGTGTGATATTAACCCCGTAAGACTCAGACACGTGTTGCCAAAGACCCCATTCTTTGGTCAGCTCGCTTTGAACCCAAAACTTGCCGATGCCACGTGTTTGCTCCATACGCAACGTGTTGGCGGAAGCCCTAATATTGCAAAGGTTATTTTTATAATACATAGAATCAGCTTTGATGGACACATGCGCTTGCTCTCTAATCAGTTAAAAAAGTACAGAATTTCGTCAAAAACTGTCTTTATATTTGTAATGCTGGAGCTATTAAAATAGACCAGAAAAATTACTACATGTACCTTTCGTAAAACTAACTTCAGGAACAAGGGGTTCTAAGTTATACTTATGCGGGCTAGCATTTAATCTTTAATGCCTTAACCTTAACAATTTGCGATGAAAGAAGATAAACGAAAAACAAAATGAATTGTGAACTATGAATTGTGGATGTGATGGCAGAAGGTGGCCGCAAAGCTAGCACTATTTCTCTTTGGGGGCCTGCGTCTTGCGTGGCTTTGGCTCAGGAGGGTCGATAAGATTGCCATGACGCACCACGTCGATGTGGCCCAGACGGATCATTTTTTCCTCCCAAACGGAAATCGCTTTTCTGTAAAGTAAAGAAATATATGTAGGATATAAGACTGCGAAATAATATGGGTGGTACTAATAATTAATGGGCGATAGCAAATATTTAAGAATTTAGATGAACAGGCCTCATCAAGATTTAAGTAGTAACTTTAATAAGATACTTTCAAAAGCTTCTTCCTAAAAATCCGAGCACATGCTACAATCACGTGAACTTGTTTTAGCACTGAGAAAAAATTCCATTAAAAAAATATTATTGTCAGAACTAGAAAAACATTAATTTTAGTACCAAAATATTTCATTAACATGACATAAATATTTAAATAATAATGTAATATCCCTTTCATACTTATTAGAAGCTTGATTGAACCTTTATTAATTTAGGTTTCCCAAAAAAATTAACGAAATTTAATTTTGCAATCTTTTTCAACTCTAAGAGCATCCTACAAAATTTCATACTGGTCATGAATGTTTGTTTATGGTTTTGAAACACAACTAAAACTGAAAAATTCTAAAAGATCTATAAACAATGTGCGCAGTTCCCTATTAAAACATAATTAAATTCCCTCCCGGAAACCAGTCCTAAAAGTACCACGCACCTGTACAGTTCCATCTCCTTGCGCGACTCCTGCATGTACACCTCCTTTCGGAGTCGGAGAGGCGGGTCCACTTGGCCGTGGTCTTCTGGTGCCACTCGCGATAGGTTTGCTTGGCGCCCTGCGGGGTGTTGGTGCGTTCGCTGGCGATGAATCGCAGGAAGGCGGAGGCGGGCTTCTTGGGTCGGCCCAGCTCCTTGACCCGCTTGCGCAGCTGGCGCGCTCCTTGGCGTCCACTAGTCCTGCTTCAGCTGCTTGATCTCGGCCCGCTGTTCATCGGTGAGCGTGGCATCGTACTTGGTGCGCTGCTCCAGGTAGATTGCTGATCCCGCTTGAACTCGGCCTGCAGCGCTCCTTGAGCTGGGCATCGGCGTCGGACCAGTTCTTGGACACTGGCGCACCACCTCGATGGTGGTGATCTGGGGGTTGGAGGCCTTCAGCTTGGGTCGCTGCTCCCGCATGAAGCGGAAATAGGGAGTCAGGGGTTTCTTGGGCCGCGGCGGCAGGCCCACCTGCTCCTCCAGCGTTTTCGACTGGACCACGGGGAGTTACTGATGCTGGCGGCGGCGAGGGGCCTGGGGGATGTGAGGGGTCTGTGTCGATGTCATTGGCTATAGACGGAGCACTGGTGGCCGATCTTTGGCTACAACTTGCCTGACTTTGTTGATCAGCGAGCCGATGAGGCCGCCGCGCGAGGACATCCGCGTGGTGGTGTAGATCATGGTCCTGATGGTGATCCGGCTTCGTTAAGTAGTTAGTTAGTAATGCTGCTCCAAAGATTCGATTTTATCCAGTTAAGCAGCACGGAGAACTTGTTGCATTTACGGAAAATAAGTTTTACGTAAAAAATGCGGCATTCTTGCCAAGTGTTGCCACCTGGTTTTTCGTAAATAAGAGCTGCCAGATAGTATCGAGCTTTTGTTATCGAATTTGGTCATCTCTATTAGCTGCCCATAACCTTGTTTATTTTACTAAAAACATAAAAACATTAGTTAAAAATATCTAACCTGCGATACGATGACCAACAACGATGCGGCGGTGGAAACTGCCGGCTCTAGCAGAGCTGGCGGCAGCAAACAGCAGCCCAAGCTGGAGATCACCGAGAAAGTGCGTGTCCTGTGCCTGCACGGCTACCGGCAGAATGGAGATGCCTTCAAAAACAAGCTGGGATCCTTCCGCAAGTTCGCCTCCAAGTATGCCGAGTTTGTGTTCATCACGGCGCCGCACGTGGCCGCTGCCCTGGAGTCGGCGGCGGAGCCTGTACCGGAGCAGAGGAGCTGGTGGGCCAACAAGGACGACGGATCCTTCAAGGAACAAACAAGGGCGGTCCCGCCTTCGGTTTCCAGGAGAGCCTGCGCTGCGTGGAGGAGGCGTGGCGGACGCAGGGTCCGTTCCAGGGACTCCTGGGCTTCTCGCAGGGCGCCTGTTTCGTGGGCCTCATCTGCGGCCTGGCCAAAAAAAGTGTAGGTCTTGTATAGATCAGAAAATAATCAGTTTAATTACCTGACCAACCACCCACAGTGACCTCCATCCGCCCAGAGTTTGCTGTGCTCGCCTCGGGCTTCCTGTCCGGCAGCCTGGTGCACATGAGTGCCTACGAGGAGGCCATCAGCATACCCACGCTGCACATCTACGGCCAGACGGATGAAATCATTCCCAAAGAGATGAGCGAGTCCCTGGCGGCGCATTTCAAGAACGTCGAGGTGCTGGAGCACAGCGGTGGCCACTACTTCCCGGCGACGGCCCAGCAGAAGCAGACGTTCATCAACTTCTTCCAGGATCGACTACAGGAGTATCTGGAGCACCAGGAGCTGCAGCAGAGCGGCAATGCCTCTTTCGTGGACAGCGGAGCAGAGGACGACAACGATGCCGAGGTGGCCGCCATGACGGCCGAGCTGGACGAGAGTGATTAGCCGATGGACGGGGTTTTTTTCGTTTCTTTTTAATAATAATTAAATCTTATTATTACAAAAATAATGATTTGATTATAAATTATAATATAATTAGATCCCAATATTATTTAAATATTCACTCTGCTTACGAAGGATCAAGCGGATCGGGTATAGAAATTGCTGCACGTTCGCTCAGTTCGCACATTTACTTTTTATGACTTTGTGTATTTTCTCAACAAATTCGTATAAATTCCATTAAAAAAGAAACAAACAAGTGGGGGGGAGGTTAGGGTAAAATTAAAGCCGAATATTATAAATCCCATTCCAAAGTACAATTTTGTATCGGAACCATAGTGAATTGTTCCTTGCTATAAACAACGAAAAATGCATATTTAGCTATTGCGGCTGCGGGCTGCAGCTGTTGTTGCTTTTCTGACCAGGCAGGGAGGTTGCAATCGCAGGCAGATCTCCCTCTTCCGTCCGGATTTTCGTACATTTCGTTTGCGGGGGACAAGCGAGCGACAGTAGTTAAGTGTCTCAGGATTTAGCGGATTTAGTTTGTCTCGTTTTGCTGCTTTTTCTGCTGTTGCTTTTGATGATGTTATTGCTGCTGCTGTTTGTTGTTCTCGTAGGGGGTGATTGACTGACTGACTGCTGCTACTGTTGCTGCTTTATGCAACCTGCTCCTGTCCGTTCGAGGCCTCTTGGTTTTTCATCACTTCGGGTAAGTCTGGTGGTGCCGAGTAGGGTGTCATGTCCAGTGTCTCAAAGTCGCCCAACTCGTTCCTAAAAAAGAGTTAAAGAGGATTTAGTACTGGTCAGCTGTAAGCCCCGTTGTAAGCGGTACACGTGCCGCTCGTCCGCTAGATAACCCGCACACGGCTTATCAGCGACTCTCACCTGAATGTCAAACCCAGCTGCGCCGGAGCCTGCGCCTTGGCCGTGGACACCGTCACGCCGTAGTCCTGCAACGTGCTCTCATCGTCCATGACGTCGTTGTCCTGATTGTATAACCGCTGATCCACGGGCTGCACCTTCAGTATGCCTACGATCGAAGGAGATGAATGGTTGGATGGTCAGTCATGGAGTTACCCAATAATGTTGGCTCTATAAATAGATGCCCACGACACTCACCCTCGATCATTCGCTTCAGCTCGGCCACCGTTGTGTTCTCCTTGGCGTCCGTGAAGATGGTGGTCTTCTGCCGCCTGATCATGAGGAACACGTCCTGGAAAAAAGAGTTGGGTAAGGCATTTGTTTCGTTTCGGTCAAAGTTCAGTGGCGCTTTTTCAGTGTGTCATGCTTTTGGGGATGACAATCACAAAGGCGGTCTGTGCATGAATATGCGGGAATATCACTGGCACTGGGACAATTTCGATGCACTGCATTCTGGCTATGCACTGCGCTGGACTGACCATCACCACCACTCACCATGTTGCGGAGTTTGTGGCGCTGGCTGGTGCTGCGGCGGTGGCTGCTCGGATGTGGGTTAACCAGGTGGCGATGGCTAGCGATGTGCGTTCGGCAACTGACGGCGTGGGCGGCGCTTCCTTTGGCGGTTGCGGGCGTTCGTTTCGATCGGCTGGAGTTTTCCTGCTTCTGCTTCGCTTGCACCACCGCTGCTGGGCGCTTCTTTTTTCTCTCTATCCCGCTCGACCGGAGTTGAGGGCGGGCGCGGGTGGGCGTGGCGTGCGGTTCGCGGTACGGAGTGCGTGCGTGTGTCTCTGTGTTTGTGCAACAGCTTCCTTGGTTGCCCCGCACTTGTAGGTTTTCGTAGTTTTACGATTTTTTCTGGCCTTTTTCCCTTTGCTGCTGCTTTCTCAACCAATTAGAGCTGTCAAACCATCGATGGCACAATCGATAGTATCGATCAGGGGTGGCCTTCGTCACTAATTTCACGACTAAACTATCGATTACATTTGTATTCAAAAAATTATTTGAACTTGGCATTTTGATAATGAAGATTAAATAACAAAAAATGTAAATAATTAAAATTACTTGGTTTAACCTTAACATTTTATTTTAGAGTTCATTAAAGTAGTAAATAATATAATTATTATTATAATTATACACAATCTACACACTTATGCAAGCCAACAAATAATTTAAAAAAAGCTAAAATATTATTTAAATTAATTTTAAAATGTTAACATGAAAACATTTATTTTGCTTTATTTTACATTTAATAATTACTTTTTAGATAGTTTAATGAAGAGTAGCCCTGGAAACATCACAAAAATGTACTAAAAAATCCCGCGACAACTGTCAGTGTCACTTTTCTCGTTTCGCCTGTTTTATTTGCCACGAAATGGTTTTGCTGGATAATTCGAACGTAAATAAATGAATAACTTTGTAAATAAGCGGTTAAACAAGCCAGTTTTCTTACAGTTCATTCTGCGGCTGGAGAAGATCGCCAATGCGGCGAAGAAGGACTCCTCCTTCACGTTGACATTTAAGCGATGTGGGTGGTGCCACCTGAAAAACATGAAAGTTGCGGAGTAACGAATTCTAATTATTATTATTCCCTAGATGATGGCCACGACAAACCCGTGCCGAGAGCTGGACGACCCCCGCTGCCCAAGCCCGAAACCTACATGTGCCTGATACGAGCCCAGTCCAAGTCCCAGAAGGTAACCCCGCTCGAGTTCCTCCCAAAACTCTATAAAACCCACTTCTCCCGCAGATTTCCACCGTCGTGCGGCAGGAGGATGTGCCCGCCATGATGGGCATGTACTCGCAGTTCATGAAGAGCAAGATGGACGGCCTGAAGCGGGTTAAGAAGGTCAAAAGCAAGGCCAAGGCGACAAAGGGTTAAACGGGGAGTAGGTCGTAGCTAGATTTTATTTGACTGTTAGCAGGTCTCTTGTTTTAAATGCATCATTTTGTACTGTACATATGCTGGCTTTTACTTTCTGTATTCATCTTAAATCTGCCGCAGATCGAGCAGCCACTTGGGCAGCTCGCCCTGCCGCAATCCATAGATGAACTTCGGTTTTATCAGGTGCACCAAACTGTATAGATCCTCGTTCAGATCGGTTTCGCTCAGGAGATCTTCGTCTATGTAAAGGACATCGATACCTTGACCGAGGCCAATGTGAAACGATCCATGGGCCTTGGGCAAAAAGTCCAGATAGCCGGACAGGCGGTCCACAATCAAATATTTTGCCTGGCCATCTAAAATAGAAATGGCTGGAGAACAGAAGTATAAGACAAACAGGGAATACCAACTATCTATGTAGAACAGGCGTGCCTCCAAGCCATTTTCGTTCTTTCCCGCTGGTATCAACGTGATGGTGATCTCGGTTTCATTGTACACAATTTGAGTGGGCTCATTTGGCTTGAGGGTTTTGGATGTGCATTCTCTGGGAAGCTGGAAATAAACAGCCGTAGGATTTCTTGCTCAGATCCTACAACATATTTGCACCAATTTTGGGGAAGCACGGGATCGTTGAAGGCGGCTGTTGATAAGAGCAAGGCTCCACTGTGCTGGAATGACAAATGGTTATGGTGTGACTCCCTAATAATGTATATTACTTACTTCATCGAATATGCCGTACTTTTCCCCTCTTTGAAGAATTAAAGGCTGCCCAATGTCATTCAAAAACATTATTAACTATAATCCGCCAAGTGTTTTGGAAATTTTGCTTTTCTTTGGTGTTACCAGTGCGGACTACTGAGAAAATCCAAAATTGCAATGTTTCAAGTTTGAAATTTTACCGCGAAATTCAAAAGATAGTTAAAATGTAATATTTAAATATTTCAAAAACAAGGCATTATTCATAGTTGAAAAACTATCAACTGATAAAACGTTTTTATTATTTTGATTATCCACTAAAAAAGGGCAGTACGCACCCCGAAAGTAAGCCTCATTTCAATACTATGTAGACCCCTCCCCTTCCGGTATTTAAAAAAAACAATAGTTTTTAGCTTTATAAGTATATGGGTTTTCTTTAAACTTTTCGTTTTAGTTAAACGTACATACTGTTTGTTCTATATCTATCACAATGAACATTTGTGTCGCGTGTGTTTTAGTGTGAGATGCGCTGTGTCTTTGTCAGAGAATTTGGATCACGATACAATGGAAACAATCGAATTGACTTATGCTAGCATTTAACTCTCCACGAACAACTCACGCATAAGTTAAGTGTAAATTTAACCACATTTCTTTTTGCTTTTAGAACAAAGACAGTCTTTAACAATATCCGAAGGGATCTGCAGTTGCGTTCCCGAACCCTGCTGCACACCCGATATTGCGATTTGAATGGTTGCTTGTTACTCGACATTTGGCCATTGATGAGCAAGTGTGTGCGTAATGTTGGATAGAGATGATTGCAATGGGTAACATAGGGGGATATAAAGTATATGGAAACGTAAAAAAGATTCTATCATCTCTATTCATGTACAAGTGGGGTAACCCATAGGTGCCGGTGTACAACAAGAAAATGACTAAAGCACATGAGTGTGCACATACAAATAATAACAAATAACTATCACACCTGATCCCCATTTCGAGTCCGATCAAAATTTGTGTAAACTGACTTGAATTTTTAAACAAAATTCACAGATCAATTACGATTTAAACAAATTTGAAGGGAGCTGGGAACAGATCTTCATAACTTAGGCGCCGAAATTAAATTAAATTGAATAATTTGCATAGGTAACCACGTTCCAACCGAACCGCTCAAGGATCTAGTTGAAAGTGTTGTAGCGCAGGTTACTATCTACATCGCCCACATTGCCTCCAAAGCCCGGACTGGGCGGCTGGTCCTGGTCCGCCATGAGATCTGCGCTGGACTGCGAGTGACGCCGCTGACCCGGCCACGTCCAGACATCGCGAATGCTATCGATTAAGCGCTGCGGGAATGTCTTGTACTCCATGTCCACCGACTGAGTATCGCCGAAGTTAAAGTCGGCCACCTCAACATTGAAGCTGTGGAAGGGAGCAGATTGTAGGGAGTTTTTTACATAGTTAAACAGCCAGATCTCACCGATTTCCCCGCTGAATATAATAGGCTACGCCGAAAACAACTAGAATTACGGCCACCAATGTGCATGTCACGGGCACAACCACTACTGAAAGCTGAGACTGGCGCTGGGCTGCAAGGTAAAATAAAATAAATTGTATATAATCATATGGAAAGCTTAGATTTGAGTTCAACCCACCTTCATACATGTTCATGGTGACCTGATTTAGGGTTTGGGAGACCTGATTGCGTATGAAGAACAGAATGGTCTTGCTTTCACCGAAGTAACGCTTATACTCATAAGAACAGTTCTCAATTGGGTCGTACCGAATACAAGTCTCATTTCCCGTGGAGTTGTAAGGAGCTGCAAAGGAAAATTATATATTATAACATTATAACACGTTACAAAACGAAGTGGCCAATGTTTACTTACCTGTGTAAACCTGAGTGCAAAGATCAAACGGTGGCGATCCCTTGCAGTTCACATTCAGCTGAAGCATTTCCCAGTGTTGCAGCCAATTCTTGCCCGTGGTTCCGAAACCGGTGATGGGATCTGAAGGGGATTTAAGTTGTTTAAGCAGATCATAAATAAAAATAAATCAAACCCATACCCTTGGACACAATGCGTGTCTGGAAGTAGCCGTATATCTGTTTCGGATCCTGGCCACGTACTTTTTGTTCACGCAATCGAAAGGCGGCTGATTGCCGGGGACCAACGTGAGCTTGGAAATCCTTTTTACTCCCAGCGGGTTGACCAGCGCCACAGATACATTCCCAGCGGAGTCCTTCTGCTGCTTAAGGGCGCTGGTTAGGTTCAGGCCCAGCATAGCAGCGTTGGCGTGCATGGCTCGATTAGATCACGTTTGGCTCGTGCTGGTGGCTTTGGAGTGGTGGTGGAAGTGGTCGTAGTAGCAGGCGTTGTTGTGGTTTTTGGAGTGGTCGTTGTGGCAGGTGTTGTTGAAGTTGTCGTAGTGGCTGGAGTAGTAGTTGTGGTTGTTGTTGTCGTGGTAGTGGTTGTGGTTGTTGTTGTGGTAGTGGTGGTCGTAGTTGAGGGCGTTGGCTCTGGCGGAATCTCCAGCGAAGCCACCACTAAGGCCTCCACATCATAGTATTGCTCAGCTTTCGGATATGAGGCCAGATAGTCCAGGGCACTGGACATGCCAAGATATGTACAGTTTTGAAACCAATACGTCTGAATGTGATAGCCCTTCGCCCGCAGAAATGATAGGTCCGCATCGGAGAGCAATATGCTGTGATTCACCGCCTCCTGCGTGGACACAAACTCATGGGGCCGCGTCACATTGTTCTGAATCAGCTCCAATCTGCCGACCAGCAAGTTGTCCAACTTGATTCCCTTCTGACCCTTGGCCTCCGTAAACCAGAAGACGGCATACTTCTCCACTTCGACCCTAATCACATGCGTGGATGGCTGCTCCTGCGTGTAGACCACGGTCCAATTGCTGTTGGCGTTTTTCGTTTCAATCACCTGCAGGCACAAAAGTGATCGGTTAGTATAATTGGTAGCAGTTTTAAGCCACTCTACATCCAAATTAATCTACAATAGTAACCACCGAACACCGCAGATATGGCCACGTACCAGGCACAATCGGCAAAACTGTCGCTGAATAGTAATTGTGTAAAATTACCATTCAAATGACGCCATATCAATTGAAGCCACATGGCTGGGATTGAACTGGAAAAGCGGTCGCCGGTTTGCACATCTCAACTCTGGCTTAGGGGTCTAAAAATATGTGTATACTAAGTAAAGCTGCCCTATCAGCCATGAACTGCATTTTATGACGACTTATTAATAAATTTTACGCTATCTAAAAGTTCTACGAACGCCATATGTTTATGATTATATATTGTAAAATGTATTTATCTACAACACATTTTTTTAAGGGAATTTAAGATTATTGTGGAAACAAATACCAAGTGTGTTGATGTTATTCTCATTCGTATTTGGTTTTTTGAAAAAACTAATTAAAAGGAGATTCCCAAAATAATTAACTTTCAAAAGCTGTGAAAATCACAGTTCTTCGGTGAGTCAATCATTGACCAATAAAAAAATATTTAGACATTTAAACATGTACATAGTTCATGAGAACAAATTAAGTTTTTTTTAATAATATACGTAGAAACTCTAACCCGGAATATTTAAGTAAAAAAAACTTGAAAAATATGAATATTTAGTGTCCTTACAATGAAGTGCAATAGCTGCCCTGAAGCCTGCTTTTCTCAATAAGAGAGCTCAAGAAACTTTGAGAAAGAGGGATTATAAACGAAATTCGACCGATAGCGAAATCCCTTGGGATATTGCTGATAAGAGATATTTAATTCTTTATGTTTGGTTTACTTTTGGGGGGTAACCACTTGCAGCCAGCTGTCCTAACCAGTTTTATGTGCAGTTAAACAAACGTAGTCCGTAGACTTGCTTGCATTTGTGTTTGCATTCAGAGGCAATTAGTCATACCCGTGGACTTGGAGCTTTCTTTCTTTGTTTGATCACGTTCTGGGGATTGGAAATGGACATGGGGAACCATTACCTCTTATGGCCAGCACTGTCAGTCCAGGTGAACCTGTAGGATTTTCCTTCAGCAGCCGGTTTATCGCCATCGAAGAGCTGGGCGGACACATTGATGGTGGATCCGATGAGGGCCTGGTCAGGAGCGGTGATGATGACCGTGAAACAGGTAACTGAAAAATTGAGGAATCGTTAGTAAGTTTTGGTGCCATACCATAGTTTTTTCTGATTTCACCGCCTGTACTGCCATCCATAAATAATAACCATTATCCATACCTGTCTGCAGAAGAGCGTAGAAAACCAGTGACGACGCTATTGGCGACATGTTCGCCCTGCCGATTGGAATTTCCCGTCCACTCGAAGCTTACTATGGAAAATCACTTGGGAGCTCCCCTGTCGCGAGTCCCCTCCCTTACCATCAAATCGTAATCCAATCCAAGCAACAAACAAAATTTATAACGAAAAAAAAACAAAACACAAAGGGGTGTCTCACTTTTCCCAACAGATACACCCACTTTCACGATCTGTACTATACGTTGAACACGGTTAATTGCTTTCGTTTCGATTCGGAACTATAGGTCTCTATAGTTCTGCTGAATTTGCTGTGGTGATTCTATTATTGCGTTTTTAATTTGTTCCACAACTTTTTTTTTTTGCGTAGGAATTAGTGTGGCCGGGTGGTGGACAACTAAATTGGCTAAATATGGTCTCACTACAGCCACCCTACTAAATTATCCCGCCAAGTGCCAAATTCAAAATTTAAGCGTAAATTAAAAATAAATACAAATCACAAAAAATTTCGGTGATTTATATAAAAATTCAAGCCATTAAAATTTAAGCCAGCGTACAATAATGAAAATATTAAAGTTTCACTAAGGTGATCTAAATAAAAATTCAAATTATTAGGGTTTTCAAAAGGTAATATAAAATAACTTGTGTAATAAAATAAATTTAACAAAATGTTATAATTATTATATAAATTATAATAATTTTATGGAAATTTAATTTTGGCTTCAACACCCATTCAAGGACATTTTAACCAGATGAAAATGCACGTACCACTTCAACAATATCTTTTAAATCATATAAAACTCCCCTAGTTTACCTTGTTAAAATACTAAGTTCGATTTATTCGTTAGTTGTAAATACATAATCATATATGTCTGCGTACATATGCGTGTAGTTGTGTATATGTTAATATTTGAAGTAAACTTAATAGTACAAATGAAAGACAACGAGATGAGAAAGCAATAATTACTTTGGGATTAGCGAACCGCACAGAATTCTCAATACATTGCTTGGCGGCGGCGCCGTATTCTACTTCTTCTTGCTTTGCCAAGGGTGAGCGTGTGGTGGGCGGTGGCCAACTGCTGCTTGCGCCGCTGGAAGTCGAGGTAGTCCTCCTCGAGCGCCTTGCGCGACTCCTCCAGCTTGCGTTTCTCCTCGGCATGGTCCCGCTTCAGCTTCTCGAACTTGGCGTGCAGGTCCTTCTCGCTCTCCTTCAGCTCGGCCTCCTTCTCCTTGACCCGCTGTACAAACATCTGGCGCACCTCCTCCTCCTTGGACTGCAGCTCGGCCAGGTGATTGGAGCGCTTGGCCTCGAATGTCTGCTGGAACGAGATCGGCTTGTTGTCGCTATCCACATCGCTGAAGCCCATCTGCTCCAGTCGCTTCTGGCGATACAGCTCGTAGTGCCGCGTGTGCGTCTTCTCGCGCATGTCTCCATGTTGGTGCGAATGAGCATCTCGCGCAGCTTCACAAAGTCGCAGTGCGTCTCGTTCTCCACCTGCACCGTGCCCCAGGGATACTGGCGGGCGCGGATGAGCTTGTTGCCCACCTTAATGAACTCCGTGCTGCCGACGACGGCGAAGGGAATGTGCGAGTTCATGCTGGTGTTAGTCTCGGCCACCGTTTCGTCGTCGGTGGGGAACTGATAGATGTGCACTCCATTGGTATTCAGCTCCTGGATGATCTTCGCCTTGAATCGCTGCAGCTCAACCTTGGAAATGGTGTCCGCCTTGGCGATCACCGGAATGATGTTCACCTTGCTGTCCAGCTTCTTCATGCACACCAGATCCAGCGACTTGAGGCCGTGCCCGGTGGGGCAGATGAAGTACAGGCAGATGTGGATGCGGCTATCGTGGCACGTCACCAGCGACCGCTTGATCTTCAGCTCCTCCTGCAGATAGTTCTCGAACTGGGCGTCGATGTAGTCGACCACCGCTTTGAACGAGTCGTCCTTGTTGATCTGGTCGCCATAGCCCACCGTGTCGCATATGGTCAGCTTGAGCCGTACATTGCTCTCCTGCAGCTCGTAGGTGTGAGCCTTCAACTTGACGCTGGGCAGGGTATGGGGACTTGGTGTGGACTCGAAGCTGGTGTTAAACAGCGTGTCCATCAGCGTCGACTTGCCCAGTCCAGTTTCGCCTGCGGAGAGGAAAGATTTTGTAATGGGGGTCAGATTGGTGTCAGATTTGGGGGGAGTCATCGCCCAAGTGGGCTCAATTGGGCATAGAAGCACTGCGGCATTGGTGTCAGGGTGAAATTGTAGAAAGCAGCGGAGGAAATCGATTGCCGGCCACTTTGCATACTAATCGTGGCTGGGCGTCTGGTTGTTTCAATTGTTTACCCGCATTTCTGTATGTAGGTGATTCACTTTATCTGAGCAATGCACTCCAACATGAGACACTTGAGTACATAGCACAGCGGTGGGGAAATCAATAGCATTTTTAATTAGAAAAATGTTTTTGGTTTCGGAATTGGACAACGGTATATTTAATATAATTTGTTCTACTTCAAGTTCATGAAACTTAAAAGTTTTAAGTTACCTTTTCTACTCTTTACATACAATATTACTATCATGATTTCACTTTATAAAATTAATAACAATAAGAGAAAGCTGTAGTAAAGTAGTAAAGTGTATTTAATAACTTAAAAAATGGACATTATTCAGAAAATACATTTTAGGGAATGGGATAATGATTTAAGTGATGCTAAAGATGAAATATCTCTTAAGTTTAACGATTCTTTCTTTGCATTTTCAATGGCTTTGAACTTTTGCAAATCATTGGTTTAACTTAAAGTTAATGCAATGCCATGTTTTTTTTTAATCATAGTTAATGATGACTATTGGCAAAACTCAATGCTACTTCTTTGGCCGCCTCTGTTTTTACATGCAAGTAAAACTTCGGTTGATTCACTGTGCCGCATACACACTCACACACGGAAACTGCACCCGCATATACACACCTATACACATGACGTTGAAGACGAATCCGTTCTGGACACTCTTGTTGACCAGTTGGTCCGGCAGGCTGTCGAATCCCACATGGCCGGACTGCTTCAGGTTGCGGAGGTGCACCTCCTTCTTGTTGACGAAATCCACTTCGGCTGACATTTTCCAATAGTCCAATCAAGTAATCCAATAATCCGGCACAGATTGGATCAAAGTATCGCGCAAAGGCGTCGCCAGTAGAGGTTTCGATTAAAGCATCGATGCATCGATTTTCCAAACCATCGATGTTTAATTTTGACTATCGATGTTTCTGGCAAAATACCAGCGGGTCAGAAAAGTGTATACGATTTAGTAGCCAAAAGGTCATTTGAATCTGAAAAAATTGTCAAAATATTTCGTTAACATGGTTAACTTATTTAATTATTAAATTATAAAAAGAGCATAAATATAAAAAACTGATATTTAAATAATTCCCAAGCAGTCTGGCAACATTCGCCTGATCTGGCAGCACTGCCTTGCTGATGTGTCTACAAATGTCAAAAGTTGCATGTTAACCAGAAGGCGAAAGTTTAGGTCCACATATTAAAGGTATTTTAACTCTTAACCAACCTGCTGAGCAACCAGGATGTCGAAGGACGCCAATCCCAAGGAGGCGCTGATCAAGGCGGCCTACGCCGATGTGCACAAGTTCGGCAATAACCGCGAGTTCGACAAGGCCGTCAAGGCAGTGAATCGCAGTAAGTTTTTGGGACTCGAATAGACTCACCCATTTGTTGACCCACTTTATGATCTCCCACAGTCCTGGGCGTTGCCCCGATGATCCCACGGCCCTGCACTGCAAGGTGGTGTGCCTGGTGCAGCTGTCCAAGTTCGAGGAGCCTACAAGTTCATCGAGAAGAACCGTCTGTCCTCGCTGATCTTCGAGAAGGCCTACTGCGAATACCGCCTGAACAAGCACAGCAGGCGCTGAAGACCATCGACGATGCGGGCCTGCAGCCCCTGCCGCCCAACCTCAAGGAGCTGCGCACCCAGGTCCTGTACGCCTGGAGCGCTATGATGAATGCCTAGACTCATACCGTGACATCATCAAGAACACCAGCGACGAGTACGAGGACGAACGCCGTACCAACCTAAGCGCGTGGCCGCCAACCTGGCCGTAGACCAGGCCAAGGAGGTGCCCGAGGTTCCTGAGGACACCTACGAGCAGTATTCAACAGCGCCTGCATCCAAGCCAACCGGCAGAAGTACGCCGAGGCCGAGCGCAAGTTGCGCACCAGCGAGAAGCTCTGCCGTGAGTTCCTCGAAGAGGAGGGCGCCTCCGAGGAGGAGATCATTGAAGAGGTGGACGTCATCCGCGTCCAGTTGGCCTACGTCCTGCAGCTGCAGGGCAAGATCAAGGAGGCAGGCACCATCTACGCCGACTGCCTGCGCCACAAGCCCAAGGACGCGGCCCTGGTGGCCGTGGCCAGCAACAACTCTGTGGTGATCAACAAGGACCAGAACGTCTTTGACTCCAAGAAGAAGATACGCGCTGCCCTGGCCGACGCCTGTGAACCGAAGCTCACTTCACGCCAGAAGCAGGTCATCGCTCTCAACAACTGCCTGCTGGCCCTCTATACCAACGCCGCCGACCAGGTGCAACAGCTCAGTCAGAAACTAGCCCAAACTTACCCGCAGGTGGAGTTCGAAGCGCTGCTCATCCGCTGCAGCCAGCTGGCCAAGGATCGCAAGCACAAGGAGGCAATCGAGCAGCTCCAAAAGTTCGCTGCAGTTCATAAGTCGCATGCATTTATAAGCAAGTTCGCCGTCATCCAACTGCAACTACTGCAGGTAAGGTCTTATATTTATAATGGAATCCGAAAAGGGAAACTTAACCTTATTATCTTTCTCCTCACAGGGCAGCCGCAAGGATGCCATTGATACCCTGCTCTCTTTGGGCGAGGCCAAGTACAAGCCCGGCATTGTCTCCGCTCTGGTGTCCCTTTACCTAGGCACGGACAACAAGGCGGCTGCTTCGGCGCTGCTCAAGTCAGCCGTAGACTGGTACAAGAAGAACAACGTGAGCAGTGGCGATCTGTCGGACATGTGGCGTCAGGCGGCCGAGTTCCACTTGCGCGGCGGAGCTTCCG